AACTCCTGGGCTTAGGTGATTCTCTTGCCTCAGCCTCCCTAGTAGCTGGGACCACAGGCGCCTGCCACAACGCCCAGCTATTTTCTTGTTGTAGTTTGGCCGGGGCTGGGTTTGAACCCACCACCCTCAGTATGTGGGGCTGGTGCCCTACTCACTGAGCCACAGGCGCTGCCCATGTGTAGCTGTTTTTTGTTGCAGTTTGGCTGGGGCCGGGTTGGAACCCACCACCCACCACCCTTGGTATATGGGGCCAGCACTCTACCCACTGAGCCCTAGGCACCGCCCTCAGCTATTTTTTTAGAGACAAGGTCTCGCTCTGGCTCAGGCTGGTCTTGAACCTATGAGCTCAAGCAGTCCACCCACATCAGCCTCCCAGAGTGTTAGGAATACAGGCCTGAGCCACCATGCCCGGCCTAAAGATAAACAGTTTAAATATTGCAGACAGAGGTAGTGTAGTCAAGTCTGCTCTTAGCTTTGCTCCCTCCAGTTCTATTCAAATCAAAGTAAAGGCTTAAGGAAAGGGGTATAAAGCAATATGGATAAGAAAAAAAAGGGAAAGAAAGAGCTGAAAAGATACAAGATGTCAGATTTTGGAAGACAGGAAATGAATGGGTGTGGTAGGCACCTGCAGAGGTGTCCAAGACCTATGCACCTGCATGGGGCTCCTTTGGAAGCATGATCATTTGCTCAGGTGCCAGGAATCAGAGAGAGATGTGAGTAACACAGCCAGGGAATAAGGGGACAGGTTGAAAGCCTATAGTAAAAGTCACTAAGAGATTCTAGGTCCCCACTCAGCCAGGTGATGACCCTTGTCAACCCTTGGAAGAGACCTGATGTTTAACTCCAGTGATACCTGACCCAGGGAATCTTCAGCCGTGGGATAGTAGAGACGTAAGAGCAGGGCAGGGCACCAGCCAGACACGGGACATCATGAGTGAGCAGTGGGTCCAGCAGCTGCTTCCTTGGCCAGGCAGGAAATGGGAGTCCCTGTTGAGGGAGGCTGAGCCTCAGAAGAGTCCTATAGCTCCTGCCAGCTAGGTCCTCGTCACTATGCAGAGGGGAAGCTAATGATGGCACTGGCCTGACGAGAGGGCTTCCTGTTGGCCGTTATTTAGTGCCTCACTAGTGTCAGATGGCCAGGGTCACCAGACATCTAAGGAAAGCCTCTGCACAAGGAAAAGGCCTCATAGAGAAGAGAATATCCTCAGTGAGATACAAAAGATTTTATCCATATAAAAGAGTGGGATGCTACAAAAGGGATAGCAAAGGGAACAGAATAAGAAAGTTTTTGAAAATTAAAAAAATAATAGAAAAGAAAAACTTCGTTTGTTTTTTTTTTTTTTTTTTTATAAATAAACAACAAAAAGACAGAGTCTACCA